CCTTCTGGTGTGTGTACAATAATGCTGTTGCTGCCACTGCTTCGCCTGCCGCAACCACTGCCCGTGCTGCCACAACTCAATCACTCGCTCGTTCGCTCACTTCACTACATACTATTTGCTACTAGCTGCCACAAAACGCTTGCCTTTCTGCTATTATTCTTATTATTATTACTATTAAGCTTTTAGCTTTTTATTCTGTTATGCTTTTCTAACTTAAATTTAATTTTACTTTTTTTTTCTTCTTGAGCTATTTTTCACTTTGCCTTTATTGCTTTCCGTTTACACGTTTCACCAGTCCGAAATTCTTTCACTAACTGACTTAACCGTTAAGCTCATTGCCAAAACAACACCTTTCTGGCAGTTTGTCTTCCTCTTCTTCTGCTTGTTCTTCTTCCTCTCCATGTTCCTCCTCGTTTTCTTTGTACACAGTGCAGCAGCCATCGCTGTCGCGTTGACGGATATAAACAATTTCATTGTGGCGATGTTTACTTTATCATCAACGTCGTCATCGCCATTACGTTGCCGGCGACCTCTGTGGCTGTGCGGCCGTATGAGCTTTCATATAGCTGTAATCTAACGACAGATGTCGCTTGCAGCATATTTTTTGAATGAGTGAAATTAGATAACGTATATTATATAATATACGTTCTCTGCCGGATATACCACTGAAGTAGTAAAGAAGTTTTGTTTTATTCTGTTTAGATGAACAATTGAGAACTTAAATTTTCGACAGTGCCTAAAGATCTGTGTGTACAATTGCAATATTTATTTCAATTATAAGTATATCATACCTGAAAGTCTTAACTGCCAATTTAAAAGAAAACTGAACAAAAACTCTTGTAAACGTCATTGTCAACGTTTCGGTCCAAACCTTATTCGTGTGGTACATTTAGAGCAAAGCTCTCGAGTTGAGTGGAGCTACGGCATTTCTCGACTTTACTGCCGTTATGACAGAATTATCTTTATACTGCTGTCTGCTTAAAGTATCCTCTCAAAAGTTGATGGCTCCATTTTTGCTGTACTCTTACCCGAGCTTATCCGTCTATTTGTATTGTGGGTCATATTATTCAACGAATAGGTGAACTAGAAGGTTTTTAATTGTTTTTAGGGAGATTTCAAAAGAGAAATATAATCGGAAGTTTGTCAATCGCTTACCGAAGGACGACTACTATTACAAAAACATTGTTTTGGTATTAATTGAATACTGAATGGGATCCCAGGACTATGAAGTGTTACTGCACACCTCTAATCACTACATACATAAATGCTCGAACAGAATTTGCAGCAACCGCTCTTACTACTTTGACAGAAACCTAAGGCTTAAGCGTCTTCTGCATCGGAAAGCCAAGGTAGAATGTATTATCATTAAATTATGTTGCAAATTTAAAGCAGCTTGAAAAAAGAACTGCATCACCAGTTAGAACTCGATTCCTCATTTGACCTACTTGACCACTTAATAATCTAGCCAAGCACTGACAACTCGCCAGCATACTCCGAACATATTTGTGGAATGTTTTATAGCATACAACATTTACCATAAAACTAGGTTGCTTGTTAACCGTTAGTTTAAATCAACATGGTTTATGGAATATGCCTTTTAAAACCCAAAAATTGTAAAAGTCAATTATTTGTGTAATTTCATGAATATTTATTAGCATGATTTATTTACTATATTTTTCTATGAAGTCTCTAAATATGCTACTCGGGTCTTCTTACAATGTTTGGTTAGCTCTTTTCTCGCTTTTAACTATATCATAATTTTATTATTTGTTGTTTTTTTTTTCAAATTTCCACATATCCGTTTACAATTTCAAATGGATTTACAAAAATTTTTTGCACAAAATATACGAAAGGCACCGCATACAAAACGCCACAGATAAACTTGAGTATTAAAATGAGCACGTGGCCGGTCATTTACAAGCTGATGTGCAATAATACAATTACATAAACATTTTTTCAAAAGTGAAGTGTTGAATTGCTGCACGGAACACAGTTGTAATGTTTGCGTTATATAATTGGTGTCATAATTTAACAATTTTCGCTAACTGGTTTATATATAAAAATCATAATAAAAATAAAAAAAAAATTTACTAATTTGAACATACATGCTTTATGTAGAATAATTTATAAAATAAAAGGGAGATTATGCTACTAAAATTACGCATTACATGATTAAATATATATTTTTAGATGTAGAGAATTTGGAGTGAATGAAGTAATTTATGCCGAATAATTTTAATATTTTCTTTTTCTTTTAAATTTTAATTATTGCGTTAATTTAGCAATTGCAAATGTAACTTAAATATAATATCATCTGCGTCTGGTTCTTGAATTATTAGTGCTTTTTATGCACTACCGGTATATTGTCATGCCATAGTTTGCCCATTTCCAGCGCCTGCAGTTTGAGTATTTCATTTTGGCTCTCCTTGGCTTGCAGCAGGAAAACGCTTTGCTGTTGTTGTAATAAATTGCGATTACTTGCTATGCTTTAAATATATGTATGAGCGTGTAGTTACCTTCACTTCTTTGCTGGTGAGCACATCCATTTTATCATAAATAATAGCGTGCAAGCCCAATTCTTTGAGAAATTTAATTGTATCCTTACAGTTATTGTCGTCACCCCAACAAAAGACTACCAAGCCGCTGCTTTTAGCTAAATTCACCTTTTTTGGTAACGAAATAGTAAGAGAGTCAGTAAAATATTGTAAGTTGTTTTTGTTTTTTGAGGTCACATTTTACTTTACCTTTGTGGGATCACGTAGCAGATCCTCGGTGTGCGCTACAATGCCCAGCAATTCCATGGCTAGTGAGTTATATATAGCCATTTCAGTGGTGTTGCCACGTGGATCAAAGTATTTTTGATATTTGGTCGTTTCACCGATAGTCAAGAACATAACCGGATAACGATTTTGCTTAAAGCGCAGCATGGTGCAAATGTCCGGATCGAAACATGAGAATACAATGCGTCGATCGCCAGCCTTACGAAATACCACATTCAATATGCAGTCCACATACAAATTGCGATCGATAGTATGCTCGAATTCCTCCTCCATGGTGCCGTCTTTGAGGCGCTGTGACCACTTCACTTCTATGTTGAAGCCAACATGTTGATCGATGGAATCTAAGACGTCCGCTAGGCTAGGAAAAGGTTGATGCTCCAGTTGATCATCGTTGTGAAAGCAACGCTCTTCGCGTGTACGGCCCTCTTGTGTGTGATAAACCTAAAAAATTGGAGAGTTAGAAAAAAGTGTTTTGATTAGAGGAAATATTGTATGTCTGAACTACCTTTAAGTTATTCAGTTGATCCAATGTTAGTTCACGCATTGGTAACTCTAGAAAATCATTCGGCTTGCAACTGCCTTTAGCTTTGAGCGACACGTAAATCATGAAGTCATGATAGACCACCGGCACCAAATCCTTGCTCAGCTGTACATCGAACTCAACCATATCTGCGCCATGCTCGACGGCATTTTTTAACGAAGTAATTGTGTTTTCGCGTATCACGGAATCTTTCGTCTTGAAACTGGTGCCAGAACCGCGATGCCCTACATCCAAACCTGTCCATTTGGGGTTCCAATAGCGCGTATATGTTAGCGCCATATCCAACTTAATACACTTGGTTGGTTTTACCAGCAAATAGCCAATTTGCATCATGCCCATTGGTCGATGGCGTGTCGCGCATGTTATGGGCACTTCCAGGTTACCATCAGAGCGTTTGAGTAAATTTGGCAATACATAATGATAACCGAGGTGGTAGGGCGGCTCATCCATAGCTGCTTTTGAGCTGTACGAATATAAATCAATGAGATAGGCGGTACTATCGAAATCACCGATTGTTAAATGGAAAATTACTACGTCATCGGCACCACAAGCTGTACCAAATTGTGGTTGCATTTTTATAATGGACTCGTCGGCTTGTAAGACAGCTACTTCGTTAAAAGCGAAAGCTGTGCTCAGATCTGTACCGTTCTCACGTGTATCGTGCGTGTCATTTGACAGTGAATCTTCGAGTTGTGAAAATGCATGGTAATCACCACCAGCACCGCCACTTTGCGGTATCGTCAAGTTCATCGGTGTCACTTTAACAAAAATTAAGCGTCGCTTCATGCGTTGTTTCCATGTGAAGGGTGCATTGAAAAATTTCAATTGTACAATTGTCTCGGATGTTACCCAGCCGCGGTCCACTTTCTCAACACCATTTACGTAACCATACTCTTCATCACACTCCCTAGTCTTGCGATTTACACCGGGTACGACATAACGTGACTTTAGTTGTGCCTCCCAATTGCGCACAATCGTTTTTTCAGATGTCGGATCGACTGCAACCACTAAATAACGGTATTCGGTGCGTGTATCACGCGGAATGCTAACATAGGTGTACCATAGATTCTTGTCTAAAAAATGTAGAATAACGTGGTTAAAGTCCCCCCCGCCGTTTGGTGCGGGTACAATGCCCACTCACCATCTTCCTTCATCATGACAATACACTCGCTAAACTGCCAATTGCCCAGACGTTCGGTGCTCCCCACAATGGCCAGACGTTCATTAGGCGCTAAATCTTGATTTACTTGGATCCAAAATTTCCAGTTGACATGTACTGGTGTAGCAGGTTGAAACAGCTCCACTGAGGGCGATGCTGAAACAGGCGCCGCCATGGCATCGCAATCCTCTGCCTCATCTGCGAAAAACCAGCGTTGCATTTTTACAGTTGTATTACAAAGAATTCGCGAATTTGAGTAATGTGTTGAATAACACGCACAGAAATATTATTTTGTCAAAATATGCTCAACGAACGAATGAATAAAA